TCTATGGCTTTGGTGTGAAAGGCAGATTTAAAATCAATGCTTTCCGTCTCAATGCTGAAATTTGATATCCAAATTTTGTAGCAATGAAAAATTGCACTTGGAAACAAGGATACTGAGTTAGTGGCACCAAAACTCACAAAACAATCAGAAATAGAAAGAACACAAGTGGCCAAGGCATCAAGTGGTAAGCAGTCTTGTTTGGAACTCATTTCATTTAGAAGGGAAAGAAAATAAGCTTAATTTTTTATGCAATCTGAACCTGTTTCATGAAAAATAGAGAATGTGATAATCAAACCAGTTCATGAAAGATCAGTAGAATTTCTTGATAGAAGCCTCAATATCTTAGGGGTAGAAGGTTTGGATGAAGACAGAAGGGCCTCTCTTTTGAAATCTTCAAAAGCTGCCTTTCAATGGATTGAGAACAAGAAAACCAAAAGTGGTATGTTGTGAACCTCATGCAGATTTGGGATCTTCTTTTTTTCTTATGGATACTGAAAATTCATCATTCAAACATTGTTCTAGTGGATAAAACAATTCAAGGAGCAGAAAAGACTTTTAATTTAGAAGAAGCCAAATCTCTAGAAGAAAATGAAGTGGAACTTATAAAGAATTTTATTGGTCAAACACAACAAAAGGACAATCTAGAAAATTTAACAGAGCTTGTTCATGAAAACCAAAAATATCTAGGGGATCTAACAGAATTTCATAGGGAATTGGCATTGAGATATATGGTATTAAACTTTGAAAAAATTAAAGAGAATACTTATGAAAAACAAATGGAAGGATTACTACACAGATTATCAAAAAACAAAATAGAACAGGAGAACCAATTGGAAAACAACTTGAGGCCAACTTTTACGGAATTGCAAGAAACAATCTTACAGGAATTTGCAGAGGATGTCAAGAAATATTCATCATCAACTGAAGAGGGCTTAAAAATAATCAGTCAAGGAACCTTTTCCCAAAATTTTGAAAATATGCTGGATGATTTGAAAGTGTATGGATTATCACCATTTGTGAAAATTATAAAATTCAAGAATGGGAAACTTGCCACAGATCAAGCTGAGATTTCAAGGTTAGCTCAAGAGTTAATGGAAAGCCTTCCAAAATCTGAACAAAAGTCTAATGTTTTGGAAGGGATACAATACATTGATCTCATAAATAGGAGTAATTACCTCAAAAACATCCCTCAAGATATTGCAAAAGATATGAATACTGAACAACTCAACTTGCTTCACCTTTTTGGGCAGGTGAAACTACCCAAAGCTTTTAGACATGACACCATATGAGTTTAATTCACAATTTTTCAAAATTCACAACTTGGAATGGAATGAAATCATTTCAAAATTCACCAGTTGATAACTCAAAGTCTTTATAACTGAATCTTACTCTTCAAGACCAGTTACCCATTCTCAATTTCCTTATGGCTCTCCTGATCTTTTCCAGCTCTCTTAGGATTAACATTTTTTTTGTTTCTGCTGCTGCATCTTATATCTTGTGTTTTATTCATCTTTCCTCAAAGAAATCCAAGATACATATGCTGGAGATTTTGCATATTTTTTCTCTTCTATCTATACTCTTCTATGGAAGGCTCATTTTCATATATGCATATCATCAGTCTTTTTTTCCCACTGATTCAGATTTAGAAATAAACACATTGTTTTCAGAAGCTATTTTGATGAATCATGCCCCATATTGAGATGTTTCTAGGCACAATTCCAATATGGCAAAACTCTCCCTAGGGCAGACCATGGTTTCTGGGCATAAATTTCCTGCATTTTTCTTTTTACACATGATGTTATAAAGAAAAGAAATTAACACCAATAAAATTGTGCATTTTATTCTCAAATGAACATTAGAGAATTTAATGAATGCCCAAGATTTGAGAGGGATGAGATCTAAATCAGAGGGGAAAAAAATTGTTTTCTTTTAAAGCATCCACATCAGTGTGGTTTAAGCAGGATTAGATGCCTAATATATTCCTCCCAACCACACTGGTTGGGATCAGAGGGGTATCAAATTTGTACCTTGCTAATCCTCACCAATCCGCTCAACCAATGTGAATGCTCTTAGGATTTTTTAACTAAGGTATCTTATCTTTATCTTGGATCTCCTCATTATCCTTTGAACCATAGTGGATTGAATTCAAGGCACTACATTTCAATATATTTTGACAGAGTTGGATAGTTGGAAAAGCAAATATGCCCAAAATATTTTTCAAAACACAATATTCTCAACATGATTACATGTCCATTGTTATATGGAGATGGTATAGGGAACATAGGTGGAAAGGCAAAACAACAGGATACTGTAGCTTGCTGCTTCACCTTAAATACAGCTCAATTTCTGTGATCTGAGTTGGGGTTAGGAGCGTGGCCCCTTCTCTGAGTTGGGGTTAGGAGCGTGGCCGCCGCTCGCCCTGGAGAGAAGGGAGCCCTCCTTTATTCATTCTTTT